TACAGCATTGGATGCAAAATAATCTGTTAACATTTTTTTTGTTAAAGAAAATTGTTAACATTAGAACAACTAAAATTGTGGATAAGTTAATGTCATTAATTAGGTTGAAATTTAAAATGAGACTAATTACGTAGCTTATTTAACAGAAAGAAATACTGTTGAGCGTATACAAAACATTTGTGTTTCATAGAGAAGAATCTGTAGCTATATTTTTTCTTAGGAAATTTGGGTGTATAACCTTAAAAAAAAATTATATATAATAATCTAACAAAAAAAAATTTATGGGGTAATATTTTAACCATTAGATCTAGAGTTTTTGTTTAGATAATTAAATATAATTTTTTGTGTGTTTACAACAAATTAACCTTTTTTCTTAGGGAACAAGGGTAATACCGTAAATAGTATGGAGTTTTTAATTAATGAGATAATCTATCTTTTGATTGCTTTTTTTTCTCCCTATAGACTTGTCAGTAGAATTGACTTGAAGATGAAATTGCAAAACATGATAGGTCGACGAGTTAATCTTTAAAATGTACTTGTAAGTTGTAACGAGACATTAATCTTTTCACTCAGGATCATAAACTTCAAATACAAAGAATAAACTTAAATCCCAAGTTCTATTTGGAGATATTTAATTTCAATTCCATTAGACACTATGAAACAGTCTAACCTTATTGTACATTAATTTTTTTTTATAATTAAGATAAGATTTAACTCTTGGACTAGCACTGATAACACCTAGTGCAAGTAATTCCACAGGTATCCCCTATTGTGTATATATAGCAAACATACAAGTCAAAACATATTAATTTGTAAGATGTTAAGAATACAGTAGTAGATTACAACAAAATTTTGGCGATTGTAAAGTTTATCATACTAAACTAGGTGGGATTATAATACTTTGTATTCCCATGAAAAAGAGAAACAGCTCTTCCGAAACAATGAATATCCTTACGTGCGTCTTCAGCAAATTATAGTTTAAATCAACTTAGAAAGTTGGATTCTAGTTGTTCTTGGTTCGGTCGATCAATTTGTTGGAAATTATATTTCCAGCAATTGACATTTTGATATCATAATATGTACAACTTTATAATTCGTAACATGGAAACAAATAAAGTTATTAATTTTTCATTATTTAAATGTCAACCGTTTGTACTAGTATTGTTATTGTGTTACCCTCTTGAGTTAAAATTTCAGCATAATATCGCCACAAAATATCCTCAAAGAAAAGCGGATTCATCAGAACCTGAAAAATGAAATGACAAAAGAAAAATATATAAAAAAACCACTTTTTCCTCTTAGGACAGAAGGTTTGTCGCAATATATATATAAAAGACCGAACATTCGTATAAGATTCATACCCATTTTACAGGCCCAAATTAAGGCCCATTAATATCACCATACTCTGTTTCATAAAATCAAACACGGCCTTTCAAAATTCAGTTTTGCTACCAATTTCCCACAAAAGCTACATTCAGTTTGCTTCATTGTTTGTTGCCTGAGAGTATGTGTTTATGTTGATAACAAGTTTTAATCTTTTTGCTGTTAGTTATGACTTATGAGTCATGGTTAATTAAGGAGGTGCTTGTCTCTTTAGTTGTTTATGTAGTTGTCTAGATTAGCTTCATGGGAAATGTGGCTTAATGTGGGAAACATGGAATTGTATGTTGAAGAATCTCACTGCTGATAGAACCTTTGTTTAAGTAGATTAACAATACCATTGTGA